GGGGCGGCGACGGCGAGGTGGCGGCAGGGAGACGCGCGGCGACCGGAGTGGAGCAGGAGAGATCGAAAACTGCTAAGTCCTGTATATATAGCAAGAGCATCGGTCCCGGTTGGTGGCTCCAACCGGTACTAATGCCCCCTTTCGTCCCGGTTGGTGCCACCAACCGGGACCAAAGGCCTCTTTTCAGCAGCCCAAAGGGCGGGAAACGAAGACCTTAGGTCCCGGTTGGTGGCACGAACCGGGACTAAAAGGGGGGCATTGGTGGGACTAAACTTTAGCCGCAACGAGAACCAACCCTTTAGTCCCGGTTGGTGGAATGGACCGAGACTAATGGTCGTCCTTTGGTCCCGGTTCAGGCCACCAACCGGGACCAATGGTGGTGGGCCAGGAGCGAGGCACATTGGTCCCGGTTCGTCCCACCAATCGGGAGCAATAGGTCCAGACGAACCGGGACCAATGGCCCACGTGGCCCGGCCGGCCCCTGGGGCTCACGAACCGGGTCCAATGCCCCCATTGGTCCCGGTTCTGGATTGAACCGGGACTAATGGGCTGGACCGGCCTGGACCATTGGCCCCTTTTCTACTAGTGTCTCCAGGGCAGTTGGTTAACAAGACCGGTGGACCAACCCTATGTACAGGCAGTGCGGCCCCTGGCGGCGGTCATGGAGACTGACCACCCGGGGGTCGCACGTAGCGGAAGCGGCGGGCAACGGCTAGGGTTTTGGATCGGTTAGGCTGATATCATGTTAGAAGAGAGAGAGGATTGGTGAAATAGTTCGTTGTATTGCTTGAACCTCATGGGCATATATATTGAAATACATGGTCATCTTAGCGTACAAGGCAAGCCAGGATATTTTCTACTATATCCTATGTTTCCAATCTAATCAATATAATCAACACATCCGATCCAATCTCGCAACCATCCCATGTTGACCACCTCAGGCACCGCATCGGCTACTAGCCCCAGCCTCACCTCCTCCACCCCGCTTGCACCCATGAACTCCACCTCCGGCACCATCGTCACCGCTGCTATGCCCGCCTCCGCCTCCCCGGCAATGCATGTCGCCAGCATGCACACTCATGTGCCCGTAACGCTCGAACTCCATGCCTCGAACTTCATCAATGGGCGGATGCTCGTCCGCGTCCTCCTCGGCAAGTACGACCTGCTCCCTCACGTGAACGTCGTCACTGACGCGGTGGACCGCACGCTGGACTGGACTCGCGATGACTACGCAGTTCGGTCCTGGCGTGTGTACTTGGATATGTATGTTGTGTATCCTATCTATACAAAGACCGAGTGTGTGTTTATCGTGTTTGTATCCATTTGATGCTTCATTTTGAGTCAACAAAATTCATCCTTTGTGGAAAAATCACATTGATGCGCGTGCATTTACGAGGGCCACCAGTTTATCCTCCAGCCCGAAATAAGGGACGTGGTTTTAGTGTAAAGGAGTAGTAAAAAAATAATACGAACAAGGACGCCAGATCGATCAGGTCAGTCACGCGCTTTCTTCTGCCACCGATCACTCTGCTTTCAGTTGTGCAATGCAATCGGTATGCTTGTCCATTGCCACCCACCATATATACTTACTTCATCCTTTTCTCCGGAGAAGGGATGTTACCCATCGATTGTATTCATCATGGCAGCGCTCCACCTTCTGTTCCTCCTTTTCCTTGCTGTCGCCGCTAGCAGCAACAACGCTGACCAGCCGCTGACGCAGCAGGAGGTCTGCATGGCGTCGTCTTCTTCCTCGTGCCCGGACGACGTGGAACCGAACAAGGAGGAGGCCACCGTGAGTTTCAGACACTATGCTCGCACCATCAATGTCGACCTCGTACTCCCTGCTAGCAACAGGGCAGTCGCCGCTGGGGACGAGGACCTGCAGCTGCGGCAGGAGGCCATGGCGAAGGCCATTACGGTGCTCTCCCGCCACAGCACAGAGACCACCGACGCCGAGACGCTCAAGCGGGCGAGGGGGTGGTGAACCTTTTTTTTTTGAAACGGAGGCAAAAAAAGTTGCCTCATCGATTAATTAAGAAGAAGAGAATTGCCTAATTAATTTATGGAAAATCGGGCGAAAACCGAGGGGGCGGTGAACCTCGAGGCCCAGCGGTGGAAGCCCATCTTTAGGGCCGTCAACAGGGTGCTGGAGAGTGGCGCCGATGACCGCACCAAGGAGGAGGCGTTCGCCGCGGCCAAGGTGCAGCTCAACAGCGAGCTCGGCCAAGAAGGTCCGAACGCCCTCAAGATCGACTTCGAGTATATGTGATGTCTGTGATGTCGAGGAGGTTGCCTCGCCCGTTGGCAACCTCTGCCTTAATTTCTCTTTCGGCCTTAGTGTTCCCCAGATTTATGTGGTTCGTCCGTGCGTGGCCGCCTGTCGTAGTTGACGGATCACCACCATTATTTTCCTTCCACTTCGTACTCGACGCCTTCTGCTGTGGAACGCTTGTGATTGTGCTTGCATTTCCTTAGTTAGCGAGGTGGGTTGTTTTCTTACTCTCTTTGTTCTCCCTGTGCTTCTTCCATGTGTGCAACCATGCATGTCTGATTAGTTTACTAGATACTCACAGGGACATCAACTGAAATACAAGCAGAAGTTGCCATTGCCAAATTTCACATAACTACTTTTTTTGACGGTAAGCCTTTTTGCTTCGGTCCCGTACGTACGAGCGCCGACGAGTACTTTCCGTGTATTCCAGCTGGCCGATCCTTTGGCCAACGCACGTACGTGCAGAAATAAACAGGCAAGCAGCAGGAAGCTTCACGTAAGCAAGCTAGACCAAGCAGCTGGATTGATGGCACAACTCGTTGGAACTGCAACACGCGAGAACACGGCGAGATGATGGCAAACAGGGCCGTTTCGGTCCCGTACTTTTTATTACTTTTCGGATCTCACGGTACAACAATTACAAGGGGTGGTTACATATCTATCTATCTTACGGTACAAGTAATTACCACGTTAATTAAAAATTAGGAGCCGTTTACCTGATGTGGGACCAAGTTATTACGGTGTAGATCAACCCATCTAATCCTCGGCCACCTAACCATCAATCAGCCCATACAAAAAAAAACATCAAACAGAGCCCTAGCGCAGCTGGCCATCTCCTGGAATCCAACCAACACAATGAATCAGAATAATACGACATACCAAGTTATCACGGTCAAGATCAACTTATATATATATCCATATTTAATCAAGAAATACAAGTATATCTTCTGTGTTTTTATTTGCACCTTTCCTTCTTTCTTATTCTTTCTCACGATTAAGGAGGCCAATGGTTTGCACCGTTCCTTCGTTTCTATTCTCTCCCTTGATCAAGGAATTCAATTGTCATACGGAGCCTAACAAGAGTCCTGTTTTCACCTAAAAAAACTAGAGTCCAGTTTTTGTACGCAGTACTGTTGTTTAACAGAAAAAATAGATGGAATAAAATCTCAGCCATCAACGTGGTCTCCTACATCTTTTCCTGGGAAAGAGCTAAAGAAAAATGAGAAGGCGTGGAAGGTTGGTTCACCACGCGGAAACCACCTGGAAGTGATTGCAGTTCAATTTAAATGTAATTATTTTGTAGGATTACGAGGGCAGCACGGGACACTCCGAGATGGTGTTCAACAACATGGAAGCTTGGGCCAGTGTCAAGGATCTCCCCCTTAATAAAAGAACTGATGATTCTCTTGGTGATTGGCTGGGAGAGATAGTGAAAGTGGATTTAGTCATGTGAATAAAGATGGGACTGCGAGATGTTGTTGCCAAGCCTGGCTGCTCTCTCTCTCTCAGCTCATTCACGGACAGAGGTAGGAGAAAGGAGACGACGACTGGAGTAGAGACACAAAAAGTTTTGCCGGCCGGCGCACGGAGTGCCGCCGCGGGCGCTCGAACACCCGAATCCTTTTCTCTTTCCTAACTCACAGCCGTACATAAACAGTCCAACTAGTACAACTTAAATAGCCTATCGAGTTGCTACATGCAGCCCATGATCCACAAGACTCGGCCGCCACTCCTGCCTCCTCGCACGTAGGAAACTGCAGCTAACGCAGCCCTCAAGGAATGGTCCTTATCTGCCCATGCATGCAACGGATGCACGACGCGCGCGCCACACGGACGATGCGGCCAGCTCCAACGGGCGCCGCTAACAGCCTGCTGACCATCTAGCTACATGCATCAAGATTAATACTAACACGAGAGGCTAATAATTTTGTGTTAGAGTTAAGATTACAGTGTATGAGCCTCTGGTAAGGGGATTCTTCTTCGCATCAACCCCACAAGACAAAAGAGATAAGTGCAGATTTGGTTCGATTTTACTTATGAGAACATCCGGCACTTCTGTTTCAAGTGTAGGAGGTTGGTTAATGCGGCGGGAGGATGTGAGCCTCCAGTTGATTCGTTGTCCCAGTGGGGAGAATGCTTGGGTGTGGCTCCCCAGGTCGCAGCTCAACCATGAAAGACAACGGTACATGGACGGCACCCATTGGCAGTTTCAGTAGGGATAACTCGAGCAGGTCTGAATCAGAGAAGGGCGATAAAGTTCATGCCATCGTCAGAGACCTACCTACCAAACGAAATTTGGACAAGGAATTTACCTCATCAAGTGCTTCCTGCACTGCTGGAATGCATGCGAGGGAGTAGGTAAACAGAAACCGGTGGAAAAGAATAATACAGACCTAAGGCAGCGCCTGGAGGAAAAGAGGGAGAGAAAGATAAAGGCGCAATCTACAGAAGATTTTTGCTTCAGATCCTACTCAGTTAAATAGGGTGCAGCCAGGTTACTATGAACTAACCTCAGAAGAGCCCGTCGCCCGAGCCGCTCTCGCGGGCGGCAGGGCGAAAACCTAGCCGTCGCCCGCCAGCTCCTCCTCCCCGCCTCTCCCCCTCCCCGCCGCCGCCGGAGGGCGCCACCGGGCGAAGCCCGGCTGGCGTCGGTGGCGGCGGGGTTTCCCTCCCACCTCCCCTGGGGCCCTGTGGCGCGAGACACATGGGTCAGGCGAGGTGCGCGGCGCTGGCGCAGGGCGGCGCGGCGGCGGATGCGCGTCACAGCGCGGCGGCGACTGCGTGGAGCTGGTGGCGGGGCGTGCTGGCTTGGGGGCGGCGGGGCAGCAGTGGCTGCGTCGTCAGATCCGGTGGCCAGCGACGAGGGCTGCGGCAGCGCGGGCTGGTGGCGGCTGCCGCTTGGCTGGG